TTGGGTCTGTCTCTAAGATGGGCCTCATTAAACCCTGGATCCAAAAGCCTCTTGGAACGTGGGAAAAGTTTGAATCCAGACACATATGGTGGGAGGCAGAGATAGAGCGGTGCCTGAAGAATGAGCTTTTTGCAGTGGAGTTGGATGTTAACTGAAGTGACTTGTGCCTTTAGGATTATTATGACTTCAGGTTGGTAATTTGAGAGATGTGCCCATATACCGATCTGTTACTGCAGCCAACCGGAAGTCTGCTTAATGTGTAATGGCAACATATGGCCCACAGTTGCTTTTTCTTTTCTACTTCAGTGCTCACACTACCGCTGAAGGCATACGTGAGTCTTCCCATATAAGCATTTAATACAATGTATACGGATGTCCACACTTTGAACAATGTTTGTTTCTACACTAAGCCAAACATTGGCAACCATCAGTTTAGATTTCCTGTATTACTGACAGCCTGCTGTTTCCATAAACAAGTTTCTGGCTGCTCCCTGAATTATATCTCAGGCTTCGGTTCACCGGCGTGGCAAACTGAGATTTCGCTTTGGGACAGTCACAACTTGCTACTGAGATCCATACTGAGTCTACTTAGCAGCTGATGAAGTAGGATGTTGCTTATGAAAGCTCATGCTTCTCTGAACCAGCCTCTAAGGGTCACCCTGCCCTGCCTTCTGCCTTCTTCTAATTTGTAAATTTGGGTTTATGAGAATTGGGCCCAGATTTTCAATCGCTCAGCAGTGAAAATGAGAAGACTTTTAAAATGAGTCCCTTTCTGGCACCCAAATGGCCCCAGATTTTCAAAAGCACTTCGTGTCCTGCTATGACACCTATGGCCAGACCTACACACCCGGCCTGTGTTGAACATAGTGAGCTCTTCTGAATATACGGCCACTTGAATAGTGCCCGTATGAGAGCTGAGCTCTTCTCAAAATGACATGGACCTCCTTCATTGCTAAAGAAGCCTAGTCACATCCTAAAGTTTATGATGGGATTGGTAATCAGTCTTGATTTTCTCTCCATAGATTTCATGAAATATTTACAGTATCAGGGGTTGACTAATTAGTTTATTTTTACTAAAAGGATATGTACAATATGATATATTCTTTTTGGCTAAAGGCAATTTTCAGATTCTTTCTGAAATTATCCCTTATTAAACTAAAACATACAACATGTATGACAGTGCTAGTAATATATTTTTTACATTGGACTTCTTTGTCTGGCTGATGAACTAATATGATTGTCCCCTTCATATACTTAAGTGTGCAAAGATATGAAACATAAAAAAGGACACTTCTCACATAATCTTTGAGGTTATACTATATATTTTGCCTGCAAAAGGTTCAGGTACTTACTGGAAGCTGTATGCAGCTTGGGGAACACTTCAGGCTTGTAGACCGGGGTAGACAGTACGGGTGAAAGGAAGTCTGTTTGTAAAGGGGATGAAGAGAGTATAACATGCCTTTTAATAGAAATGCATTGGAGGTTCATGAAAGTTGATCTGTTGATATCAGAGCCCACATAAAAATACAGACATCTGTTCACATATACACATTAATATATGTGCTGATCTCAAGAGATCACTTGCTCATGCACACGCATACACCCCCAACTCAATTAATTCCTATATCATAAATGTGTCAGTCAGCATTTTGCACTAGGTATCTCAAAGCAACCACACTCTTGAACAAGAAATACATTTACCTGACTCTCTTCCTGCAGTTGCTGTGGTTATTTCTAGAGGTGCTGACTCTGTCCATATTCCAGCTATGGGGACAGAAACAAGCCCATTTTACTATAATTTATGTTAATTATTTATCTGCACCCTGCCAAGAACCTGGCAGGTGCTTTGCAGGCAGATAAAAAGGACAGGTCCCTTCCCTAAAATACTTAGTCAAATTAGATAGCATTCAAAACATAGGAGATGGAGAAAGGGCAGGGGGAAGGAAGGGGCAATAGCAGTGTAACTGAAGGGTGAAAATAAATGTGTGTGTTGTTATCTCTAGTTGACAAGTCCCGAGGTATTTGTAGACCCACAAAAGAACAGTATTCAGGAGTGGATGGGGGTAGGATGAAGAAGTGGGTGATGGTGCTGAGGCAGAAAGCTTGGGCATTAGAAATGGAGAACAGCAGAAAGGGGGTCACAATAGCTCAGTGGTTAGTGGTGTGTGAAGAAAGTAGGAGACTGGAGCAGGTGCCCTGGTTGGATAAACACCTTTAGGATAGTCTCCATTATTTGTGTAGCTCCCCCACAACAACAGCATCATCATCACCACCATCATCTACTCACTAGAGTATGGCTGAGGTTTTGGCATGTCTTGCTTTTGTTCTGCAGAGCTAGGGGGTGCTGGTGAAGGTCCTCCCGATGCTAGAAAAACAGTGATTATAAAGATGTTTATCCAGATTAATGAGATAATTGATAGTTTCATCAATTCTAGGGTCAGAAGGGACCTCAGTGGGTCCCTTCCGACCCACTTAACATGAGTGAGTTTAATTTAATTAATGAGTGAATCACCTGGATTTAACATGAGTGAATCACCTGGATTATTTATATCTACAGGTCCCTAATCATTAAAGAGCATGATCTGAACCTCTGGCCTGTACTCACTTGGTGTTGGCTGCATTTGAGATGACATAGGATAGCTTCTCCCAGGAGTCAGATACGGCCCTACAGTGCCATGTCCTTTGGAGGCATCCAGCTGTGCCCACGACAGCATTTGCAAGGACGGAAACCAGGATCCTTTCAAACCAGCAGTCTTTGGCCATGTGGGAAATTTTGTGGATAGGATTTCATCTCCTTTCAAAGGAACAGTATGTGCCCACTCAGGCATCCTTGTAGCTAGAGAATCATAAGGGATAAGGTGGGTTGTGTCCGCTGACCGGACTTTGTTCTATAATTTGACAGAAATATGACTGAGTAGCAAAACAGTCAGAAGGATGAAAATGTTTCACTGTAGGGGACAACAACTCATGAGCACTCAGATATGATGGGGTCAATGTATTAATGCCCAATGTATCAATGCCAAAGATAATAAAAACAGGAAACAAAATGAGGGCTTCTGAGTGTGCTTTGAACATTTTCCATTCTGTCATGTGCCAAACTATTGTATTTTCTCCAAGTACATGCCTTAAGACATTTCTTCTGCCAAAAATTATGATATTAAAAACAAAACCCACCATGGGCCAATTTCCAGGGACCTTCTAAGCCCCAGTGATTGAGTGCATTATTAGATGGAGCTATATTTTTTCTCCAATTTACATATTTGTCTCTTTAAGGCTAAGACTCTCTTCCACTATACATTTTGAACCGCTGCATGAACATAGTGTGCATGCAGCAAAGAACCAAATCCCTGCATTTCAATTAGTCTGGCAGTGACATGAATTGATTAGCTCTAGGTTACTTGCGCACTTTTAAATGTCCACATCTCTTCTGCAGGTTCATCCATGGTCTTGCCAGTGTCTTGTAAGGCCATTAAACTGGGGAGAATGGAGTCTATATCTAAAAGTTATGAAAAGTTAGAGTTAGTTGTATTCATGGCCTGGTCGAGATTAAGAAACAAACAGATTTAGATCTGTTGCTCATGTAAAAAAAAAGCAACCATCTTTTTTTTTTATGAAAAGAAATCATACTAGAAGACATATGCATGGGTTTGGGTTTTGAACAGGAAAAATAAAATTCCAAGCATTCTTTATCCATGTGCTTTGAATGTTAACCTGCCAGGTAAAACTCCCATTGACTGCATGTCTAGTATCTGTCACACTCCAGGAAGTAAACCAAGTCAACAAGAGCAGCATAGGGTCAATAGATCAGATTTAGCTCCACTTTGCTGTGAAGGCTGAGGAATGTCTAATACCTCTCTAGTGTTCTTATCCCCCATGAAAATAGCTGTAATAGTTTATTACTGCTGGAAGCTTGTGTAGTTGCACCTATAAATCAAAGGTGGAAATAGTCTTTGCTTTTGGTATTTAAGGGATGTGTCTACATGAGACATTTTACTATGCAATAGACCAGGGGCGGGCAATTATTTTGGGCAGAAGGCCACTTACTGAGTTTTGGCAAGCTGTCGAGGGCCGCATGGGTAGCCCCACCCCTTGACAGGTGCCCAACCTCCCTGGTCGCCATCTTGGGACCAGAAGTCCCACCCCTAACTTCTGCCTTTTGTCACCGGAAGTCCCTCCTCTTGCCCCTGGAAGTACTCCTTTGGGGAAGAAGATTTGCCATCTTAGGGGAAAAAAAGCAAATTACATACTAAAATCAAACACCCATAATAATATATTTTAATTTAATTAAAAAATATATTTTTGCCCTGATTTGTGTGCATTTGTGCTGTATATGCCGATGTGATTGTATATGGGGGTTTGTGGGGATGTATGGTTGTGTGTGTGTGGGTATGGATGTGGGTATGGGTGCCATATAGGAAAGCGGTGGGAGGGGGGAGTGAAAGTCAGCAGGAGCGTGGGCCTGCACCAGTGTCCCAGGGCCAGCGCCGGTGGGGCCCAGAGTGGGGCAGTAGGAGCACAGGGTGTGGGTTGGCAGGGGTCTGTGGAGGTGGACTGCACCAGCAGGAAGAGCAGGGAGCTGGCCCAGCTCCATCCAGTCCCTGCCAGCCGGGACCCCGCACTCCTGCAGCCCTGCTCTGGGCCCCACTGGCACTGGCCCTGGGACACCAGCATGGGCCCTGCACTCCTGCCCAGCTGCCACTGGCTTCCATGCACCTGCTCACTCCCAGTGCCCCTGCCCCAGCCCTGCAGTACAGGCAGGGACCAGCACACAGCCCCGACCCCACATGCCCCACGCTCACCTGTCTGGACTGAGCAGCAGCAGCGGAGAGTGAACTGGTGCTCAGAGTGGGGGGAAAAGTGTGGTAGCACTGACTGTGTGGTGCAGCCTCAGGGCAGCACAAAAGCAGCGGTGAAGCAGCTGCACCACAGCCTCGCACAGTGTGGGCTCCGGGTGGGCAGCCGCAGCAAACACCACCCAGCAGCGGTGAGCAGAGGGACTCCTTTCCTCTGCACTGAGCAGCAGTTTCTGCCCAGCTGCTGCTGCTGCTGCTGCTCAGCCTGGACAGCCAAGCCCAGAGCTGACGCAGGGCCCAGATTAGACGTGGTGGTGGGGAACGAACTGATGTTCAGCATGGGAAAAAAGCAGCCACTCCCTCCCAGCTTGTGGCCAGCACCCTTTGCTGCAGCCACTTGGAGCCTGTGCAGGGTTGCCTGTGCCTGCTCTCCATTGCCACTACTGCCCCACAGACCAGCGGTGATGAGGCGGGCAGGACAGCCCCACATGGGCTGCGAGTGGCTGCAGCAGGAAGCACCAGCCACGGAGAGGTGGGGGGCACTTTTTCCCCACACTGAGCACGAGTTCATTCCCTGCTGCTGTTGCTCAGTTCAGATGGGTGCACAGTCCCCGTGCTTCCTCACACAACTCACTTCCACTCCCCCCTGACCCTGCCACTACTTTCCTGCCCACCTCCTGGCTCCCAGCTGCATGGCTGAACTGTGGCAGGAGCTGGCCCAGCCCTGACGGCTGGGGAGATCCCCACAGTCCTCCCCTGCCTCCCCTCCCCCCCTTTCTTACCTAAATTTCCCATGCTGGTACAGGCTTGAACAGCCCCATGGCACCAGGCCAGAAGCTCCTGCTAGCCAGGGGCTTCCAGCTGGGGGCTGGCAGTGGGGGAAGGGGCTGGGCTGGGTGGGCCCTGCTGTTGCAGGAGCCTGCCATAGTTTCCCCTGGGTCCTACTGCCCTTGGCTTTTGTCATCTTTGACAGGAGCCAGGGTCAGATAAATATTAATTTTCTAAATTTTTTAAGGGCCCTTGATGGGCCAGATCCAGCCTGCAGGCTGTCTTTTGCCCACCCCTGCAGTAGACTAATCTACTGTGCAATAAAGCATCAGCAACTACACGTGCACACTATTTACTGTGCAGTAAATTAGTCTACTGTGCTGTTAGCTACTACCTGCACATACAATAGATACTGCACAGTAGCACATGTGTAGATGCTGACTGGGAGCAAATTTGTTCCCAGTCACTGTCTACACATGGGCTACTGTGCAGTATCTACTGCTAGAGATACTTTAGAGACCTACTGCTAGAGATACAAATTTGCTCCCAGTTAGCCACTAGGGGGCCGCAGGAGATGGAGAAAGGCCCTGATCCTGGTGCTTTTCAGCTCCTGGCTACCCCCAGGAGCCAGGAGCCGAGTGCTGGGGATGGAGTAGCTCTCTGCCCTGCCCCCTGTCCCAGCACTACTCAGCTCCCAGCTCACCACAGGAGCTCTCTGCTTCCCTACACAGCCCGAGGCTGGGCAGGAGCTACCCCATTTCTGGACACACTCTACTTAAAATGCCCACAGCTTCTTGTGTATTCAGCATCCTGCACTCCAAAATGGTGGCAGGGGCACTTTAACTAAAGCTTACTTGACTCCGCTGCCATTTTGAAATGTGGGACACTGAATACATGAGATGCTGCAGCACTCGATTAATCGAGTCTACTCTGACATGTCCTAATCAGAACACATCAGAGCACGTGTATAGGCACCCATATTTTTAAATCAGTATAAATTTTGAGAGTTAGAGGGGGATTCACTTAGATTTACCTGCTCAGATGCCTATCTAAAACTTGAAAACAGGTCTCTTCCAAATTTGACAGATGCACTAAACCCAAAATAACATCTACTTATCTTCATAAGGAGAGATTGTTACTGACAGGATCACCATGAGATGCTCTCAGATAGGATCCCAAGGCCTAGTTCCTTCACTTCTCATCCACCTCCAAGGCCTTACAAATATCTGAAAAAGACCCAGCTCATAGAGTTGTGACTACATCCACTATCAGAGTCACATGGTATACACAAGAAAAAATGTTCCTCTTCTGACTCCAGACATGGTATCAAGGTGTCACACAGCCACTTGACCACTTGACACTGCTTCACTTCAGTAAACTCTAGTTAATTTGCTTATGGGATAATTTGCCACTATGATTTATTTTACCACTGTTCTGATTCTCCACCAGCTTTCTTTCCCGGGTCACCAAATCCTGATATCAATCTTATAAGAACCACTTTGGATCAAAGTCCAGCAGGAATGCATCAGCTGTTCGTCTAATCAGTTCCCCTCCTGCCCCCACTTCCCCTCCCCCACCACAGTTTCTAATTATTTGTGCTTCCTGGGAGCAAATTCCTGATCAAAGTAGTGCTGCCGAGTCAAATTTGATGAGATGCTTTGGCATCTACAGCTTGGAAGGAAATCAAAGAGTTCTGCTTCTGGTTAGCACCTGGTTCATTCAATGGAAGATTCTCACTGATCATCCATTAAATACACTTCAGATCAGGACATAGAGGCCAGACCCTTTATGAAATCAATGGAAAATCTGCTTTCAGTAGAGATCGAATCTTTCTTAAAATTTGGTAACATGTCAGTGTTGCAGCATATGCTTACCCTGTTTCTGCAGTTACCAGGCAGTAGTAAACACAGACAGGTAAATGACTTCATTCATTACAATTGGTTTCTGGGCAATATTTTTTTTCCCTTTCATTTATTTCTTCAAGATGCACTTACCCAGGTCAGCAGACGCATTACTGGAAAACGTGTAATTAATAACAGGAGACTTCTCTATCATTTCCCAGAAGTCAGACAGATTCCTGCCTGGGAAGACAAATGCTCAAAAATAACAAGGCAGGATTAACGCAGTCATGCCTTGTAGGAGTCAGCTCAGTGGATGTGAAGGATGATATGCTCTGGAGGGGTAATTTGTACATTTACCTGTTTGGCCTGTCATCACACAGATATAGATACAGTCTGAACTGTTGCTCTGACTCACTGAAAGGCAAACAAATGTAATACAAATGCTTTGTCATCAGCTTTCACTATATTGCAGTCTTTTAAGGAGCTGAGAGCACCAAATAACCTAACAGGCACATATGGCTGTAAGCAAAAGGCATGACTCTGCAGGCTAGTGGTTAGAGCACTCACCTGAGAGATGGGCTCTGGGGTACTGCTCCTTACTCCCTGGATCATTTCTGGCTTTTATCCAGTCAGTGCACAATGGAAAATGCACAACCAGTTCTGCGAGCAGGCATCAAAACATAGGGCACTCCCCTCCCAAGCAAAGTACCCTATGTACTAGGCCATAAAGCAAGGTACCATTTTGCTTGCTCACCTTCTGTGCCCATGGGCCCTTTCCTGGGATGCGGAGATTTGGGTTTGAAAACTTTCAGGCTGAGAAGAGATTGAGCCCAAGTCTTTCACACAATGGGTAAGTGCACTAATTACTAAGTATAAAAAAGGCATGCGACACCACCACAATCTCTTCCTTACTCCTGGATCCAAAGAGGCCTGAGATGAAAGCTAGCATTAAACTACTGAGATCGGGACATTTTTGAGCACGTCCAGAAGGCAGAACTGCCTATGAGTTTATGCTAAGCGTAGCTTTGGCAGTCACAGTTTCAGAGCTAAATTCCTAAAGTCCACTTAAGTCCTGTTTTCTATCTGGCCCATGGTACTTCACAAGGTAGAGCAGTATTGTTATCTCCATTTCACAGATGGAAAAACTGAGCCATAGAGCAGGGGGAGAGAGAGACTTGTCCATAACCACTCAGCAGGTCTGTCACAGAACTAAATATATAAACCCATTTTATACCTCTACATACACTCAGCCATGCTACCTGGTCCCACTGATGGCTGCTCATGAAGTTGGCTCTTAGGCCTATTTGTGAAATATTTCACTTAGCCAGACTACAAGAATCCTAATCTGGCCTTTAATGAGTATGTTTACAAAAAGACAACTCTGTCTGACAATAATTAATTGACTGATCAAATAAATATTAAAATATTTTTCAAAATACTTGAAGTACAAGATTTTTATAGTTGCATCCCTTACTTTGGGAGTGCTGAAGAAGGAGTATGGATACGAGGCTTTTCAATGCCTGTGTCCCAGTGGTGATTATAATGTGCCTGTCTTGTGCACCAGCAGCGAATGGTATAAGAAGAGAGGAAGACATGCAAACCTGAGAGGATGGAAGTCGATTTGAAAATTTCTGTGAGGTAACTGGTAGAGTTCCCAATAATGTCAACGAGTAAGGCTGTAAAATCTAGGAAACAAAACAGAGCAGGTTTATAGTCCAAGGCACACATTCAGCAAAGCATCTTATGTGTGTACTGAATTTTTTAGGCACATGCTTTGCCCTTTGCTTTGATGGTATATGACTGTAGGCGCATCTACACGTGCAATTAATTCTCCTGAATTTTCTGCATAGAAAATTCAGGCACATTAAACTGCAGCCATGCACGCATCTGAATGTACACCCTTTGGGAGCAAATTTGCTCTGCCCCTCTGCAGCAGCCAGGATCCAGGCTCCCTCAAGTGCCAACCCCAGGCTGGCAGGGGGTATGGGGCTGGTCCTGATCTCCCTGGGATAGGGGAGAGCTGTCCCAGTTGCTGGGCAGCTGCCTCCCAGCCACATGGAGACTAGGACCCATCCTAATCTCTACATGGCTCTAAGTCAGCAAGCTGGGCAGCTTTCCCCACCTGCTATGCCCCCCCCTGCTGTCTACTCTGATGCGGAGCAATTTGCTCTAGGTCAATGTCTACACATGCGCTTCAGTGCATTTGTTTAATGTGCCAATTTCTAGTACCTGTACCTACAGGTACTAAAAAACAGTGCATTAAACTAATGTACTGTGCAGTAATTTCTGCACACTTGTAGATGGTGTAGATTGGTCTAATGCACACTAAAGCATCTCATATAGATGTACCCAATGTGTTTAGAATGAAGAATGTGTTAAGTATTTTGCTGCCTAGGGATAGGAGTAAGACCAGGCTTAAACACATTGCTGAGCTGAGACCCACATCCTTATTGGTAGATCTATTAAGAAGCATAATCCTTTGTGGGCAACTATTTCATAGAGGGCAATATTTTCTGCTTAAATCTTATTTTGGGCATTCCAGTGGCACTTTAGCTAGATGTAGTCTTTCCTGGCCTGCTACACTGAAGGCAAAGTAACATAAGGGATGTATCTGCAGGGCAGTCAAAAGTGTGATTGCTGAATGTGTAGCCCTGCCCAGGAGAACGTTGACAATCTTTTCTCCGATGCCTGATGAAGGGTGTTTGTGCCCAAAAGCTTGCAATTAAAGAATTTGTTTTGCAAAAAATCGTGTTGGTCTAATAAAAGATATTATCTCTACTATGAGTCCTGATTGTCTAGCCCTACCCAAAACACTTTTCATTTAGCTAGCTCAGGCACCAACTACAGTAAAAGCAGTGGGATGGAGTCCATATTGGCTAACTAGCCAAGGAGGTACATTGGGTTGCTGGCAGGCTGATATGGCCAGGTGCTGAGGCCTTCATCATGATATCGTAACTGGTATTCTCACCCACATTGTACTAGATAGATTAAAGCTAGTTCATTTGTACCTGCACGTGCTGCAGTTATTCCTTCTGGCCACAGTGAAGACACAGAGCCAGCTCTGTAAGATCAGCTGAGCAGCCTTTCCACACATTACAGTGCAACCGTGTAACTTGGTTTGAGGAAATCAGTGAGAGAAAGTGCAGAAACACAGGATTGCCTGCATGATCCATCATCTTTAATTATTTCTCTCTCTTCCTCTGCCCCTAACTTCTGTCTTCATAGCTCCTCCTGTTTCTGGGAGGAGCTCCTCAAGGCACACACCAGCCTTCTGGAGAGTTTGGAACGTGTCTTGAACATGGTGCCACCAGAAGCAAATAGTAGAATAGCAATGGCCCTGTGGCATCATGGACTTCTTGTGGCATCAATGCACTTCCTGTGTAATACCCCTAGTCAGCCCACTCTGTCTCTCATTGCTTCATAACAGCCACTCACCCTAGGTACCAGGAACTGATTTCAGTGAGACTATGGTACTTCTGTGAGCAAAGGTTGCGGGACAGCCACCCACAATCCGCAGCTCAAATGGAAACAGTTTGGCTGAAACTCACTCAAATGAAATCCGTGCATTTACACTCACCTGTTAAGTCGTTTGTCATGTTGTTTAAACAATAGCAGTACCTCATAGGGAACTTGCTGGGGTCAACAATTTTCAGGTTGGAAACTGCAAATAGAGACAGTGAAGACTGAAATCTGGCTGGACTCGCCTGTGTATTGTAAGAAAATGCACAGGGGCATAGAGTAAGATGAGATGGTACCTACTGTTATAGATGAGGACTGAAACTTTGTGGAAGGCAAATGAGCTGTAAGATGTAATGCTTAGCAGAGAGAAGAATTTTTTGGTACCTGCAAAGATACATTGCTATTAACGTACCAGGTTATAGGCTAGAAACCTATTGGGTCTGATCTAACAGGGCCATGAATGTATTTCAAGCACACTCAAAGGTGCTTGCAGCCCACACAGCTATACAAACACCAGAGGCAGCTGACAGGTATTTGAATCTCTTTTGATGGCAATCTCACAAAAATAATTTTTAAAAATCACAACTTGCAATTCTAGAGAAACAAAAATAAATCACCAAAAAAAGAACAACAGCAACCACCCAGGACAAAAATTACAGAATAGAAAGGAAAGGAAATAATATAAAACAAAACCAAACAACAAAAACAGATGAAGGATGGGAAGGAATAAAATGGAAGTATAGTAAATAGAGAGATCTTCCTCAAGAGACACATACACACACACACACGCATATGCGCGTGTGCACACACACACACACGCATATGCACACACGCACACACACAGTTCTAAGTTTTTCTCTTAATACAGACAGAAACGGTTTGATGTTTCAGGAGATTTGGTATTTCAGCTACCCATACCAAAAAGATACTTTAGTCCAAATACCATCTGTATTATTTACTAGGTATATAGTACATATTGCACATTTGATGTTCTTTTTTGACCCTATCATCTTTTGTTCTTTATTTCATTCAGCATGGAACTGAGAAGCCACGTAGCCTTTCGCCTCCATTTGTGGCACCAAAGGAAAATTACCTTTAAAAGCCGTATTTAACATGCCATTCACTAGTTCCGTCAGGTTAATCGCAGTCAGGTCAACTGATTTAGCAGGCACCTCTGGAAAAAAAAAGGCTTTTCTGAACCACCAAATGTATGACAGTGGCAGGAAGTTGCTGTTTGCTCAACACATGTACGGCTTCAAAAGACTTGATGGAATTTATTCAACAAAAAGCTAAAGTCCAGGGGAGAAAATGAAATGATGAAGGTTGCTCATTAGGGCTGGAAAACGAGCGATGGGGAGATGTGCGAGTGAAATGAGCAGCAGAGGCAGCATGGGGTCAAAACTCACAAAGGGCATTATCTATGCGCTCACTTATTAGAGATGCTCCTGGCTCTACTAAGCAACCAGGCAGCCGCAGCAAAGACTTGAAGCTTTGCAGCCCCCTAGCGATGGGCAAGAGGCATTTGCATGAACGTGACATTGGAGCAGATGCCCCTGATGATAAACTCATGTGGATAGCTTCCCTGCTGAGATTTCCAGCTGTCACTGGTCCACAGAGCCTGGATGAAGCTTCAGCTGTTTTTCTCCGTGCCTGGAGAATAATCTAACTAGAGCAGGTCAAGCTCTTTTATTTGAAAATAGTTTTTTATTTCACAATTGTTTCAATGGAAACTTTAGCAGAAAAATTGCTTGTTCCGTTCAAACAAAATAATGCAGAAAGGGAGGCAGAGAGGAAGAGAAGGCTGAAAAATTAAGGCTGGGAAAAAATGGGGAAAAAATGTTGGATTTTCCGGGACAATCATTTACAGTTTTTGACCAGTTCTGAACAAAACAGACCTCAGACTCGACTCTGATAAGCAGTAGTGTAAAATCCAACCACCCTCTACTGGGTAAATAGGACAATGGGCATGCTGTAATTTGTACAGGTCAGCTGCCAAGCTCAAAAGGGAGACACAGGGTCTGCACCATGTGCTCCTCTCTCATGGGAATCTATCTGAGGTTAGTGAGATGGCTTCTGGAAGATGGGTGGGCTTGTATTTTATGGCCATGAGGCCTCCGGCCAGTAGAAGCAGTGCTGATTTTCTCCTAACATGAACCCAAACCAGTAGCTCTGAGGGGCAGTTGTGGGTTTGAAAAAGAGTTGGACATCGGGACTGAAATGAAGTCCTTTCCAGTGGGTGCTGATGAGAAGAGCAGCTGTGGAGGGAGATGCCTGGCTGTGTGGAGTTTACTGAAGAGTAGTCTGCTTGTCAGCTCTAGGGACAGACATTACACATAAACTAGTTTAAGTGATCAGAAACAGAACAGTTGTTCAGTGCACATAAACCAGTTTGAAAATGGCTGAAACCGGTTTGAGATAAACCTGGTTGAATATAGCATCAGACTTAACTGATTTGGGTCAAACTGGCTTATGCAGTGTCTGTCGTAGACCTGTTCCTGGTTTAAGTTAAATCAGAGTCCTCCAGCATCCCAGATGATTTGCAACCCTGGGCAGGGCTGTGCTCTCTGCTCCAGCCCAGCAGAGCTGGCCGCTTCCCTCTGCTCCCTGGCTGAGACTGCAGGTCCAGGGTCTGCCTGGCTTCCTCCTTCTCCCCCTCCTGCCCCTCACTACTCCCTGGTCAAGCAGGCATTCCCCCTCCCCTCTGCCTTGCAGCATTAGTTAGCATGCCACATGCTGGCTACAGTCTGTGCTGTGGGAGACAGGACAAAGACAAACAGGACAGTATCCACTTAGGACTTTTTGGAGCTAATCAACAGGTAGCTGGTAATGTCCCTGCGTTCCTTCCTCAGAAAAATGTTGTTTAAGAAGAGCTTGAAGGCTGCTGGGTTTTTTTATGTGCTGATAAATACTAACAACTCCCTGTGTAACTCCTTGCTGCGTAACTCAATGCTCTGTTATCAACAGCGAGGTGGGATGAACCCCTTCCTAATCAGAGCATCCTGCCAGGGCCTGGCCATGCCCCCC